TAATATTTTAAACCGTTTGATTTTTGTATTAAAGTTTTTTTAATTGATTGATGATTGATTCAATCAACTAATTTGTTGATTGTATTAACTTGATTCTTTAGATATTGAAAATTAAATAAATAACATTATGTTAATTTAAGAGTACAGAAACGTTGCTGTTGTTCCAGCAAAAATCTTATTTTCACTTTACCGAGTGCCTAGTAGATAATGTGCAGATTACCTAGATACTCTGCACATTACCTAGGTAATTTGAGAAACAGAACAATTTTAGCAACTTTAACGGATCACCCTAGTTAATGTGCAGATTAGCTAGGTAATGTGCACATTAACGGATTTCGAGCTTTAGCGGTAATATATACACGATTTGACAAAGACGAGTTATTTTTCACATAACAAAACAAACTTTAAAAAACTGAATGAAATAATAATTGAATTACTGTACTTCAAAATTCACATGAAATGTGTATAATCTTACAGTGGTACCCCAGGATACGAAATTAATCCATTCTGAAACTGAGATCGTATCATGAAAATGTCGTAAGGTGAACCATTTTTCCCCATACATCAAGTGCTCACAAGTGTAAATCCAAATAATTTGTTTCAACACGAAAAAAAAAACACTCAAATTAACACTAAGTAGTATATTGAAAAAAATAACTTTAGTAAGGAAAACACTGAAAAATGCATTTTGTAGTTGTAAATGTATAAATAACCATAATAGAATAATAATTGATTAAAAATAAAATGTAGTTTTATTTGCACTTTACCTTTGAGGATAGATGACAGTGGAGGTGTAAACTGGTGGTAAAGGAGAGGGAAAAGGGAAATGATACTAAAACTTAACTTACATAACATAATGTAACAATAACTTAAAAATAACTTAATTTTTTAACTTTTCTGTTTTATATATTTTTTAAATTTTTTATTCACTGCTTTTTGCCATCTTTCCTTCACTTCCACCAGCACTTTCACTGGATAGAGGTCGCTTTGTAAAATATCTATCCAAAGAGGTTTGGCTTTGCCTACTTTTTAAAATGTTTCTAAAATGACGTAGGCAAATGTCATTAAACTGAGTGGCAATATGGCCAGTGTGAACCTTTTCGGGATGTTTCTTTTCACTAAAATCAGTCTTTCTGATAATACCTCAAGATTTCCTTTATTGAGCGAGATCCTTCCATGATGAAGCAAACACGCGGACTGAGACCGATGAACAGAA